AATGTGGGGGGTTTTGGCCAATTTTCCCTTCTCTCTCTCTCGCTGTGAGAATGCGAATGGTAATAGAGTACAGTAGTGTTTTCATCTCTTCAGCTCTTTTTCAAGTTCCTTTGTTAACACTACAGGACATCCAATCGGGCTTAATACAACCAGAGTCCACAGTCACTATGAAGCCCACAAATTATCCAAGTTCCCAATTCCCTCAACTTTTCCTCTCAATATTATTATTATCTGAAAACATAGAGACTCAAAACCTACATGTTGAGAAACTGGATATCAATGTGACAATGCTTGTTGCAAATTGCAATATTGTACCCTGCAAGTTGCGCGCATGCACTAATGCACACTATCTATTTGCAGGGACATTATCATTATATGTTGAGGTCTAGAAATGGTGTTTTAGGTGATTGCAGAGATGGTGAGATTGTAAGTTTAGAACACATCAAAATCAAACATTAATTAATTCAGATTACTTTGGTACTAGAAGGTAGAAGGATCGAATATACTAACTTAAAAGATTCTGAAAGTTGAAACCCATTTTATTGTAAGTTAGTGTTGTTAATGTGAATGAATGGATACTATCCAAATCTCATCAGAAGAGATATTAAAGATCGATCTCGAGAGAGGGAGGTGGAGACGGAGATCCACGAACAAAAGCTCGAAACCAATAAACTTTGACTGGGTCTAAACTGGGTTTAACTAAACCCAGTAGAGAAACCATATTAGCGACAACTTGTTTTATTTTCCTATTTCTGCCCCTCTGTCCGCATGCGGACGTCCGCACCAGAGACTGGGGCTCACATACGGTCCGTCCGTATGCGGCCTTGGGGTAAAATCGGGAAAATACTCAATTCTCTATTTATTTGTTTCAAACACCGTGAATATGGTTTCTTTACACGGGTCCAAATAAACCCAGTTAGACCCGCTTAGGAGTTTGTGTTCATCTGTCTTCTCTCGTCTTCCGTCTATCTTTGTCTCTCTTTTCTCATCTAAGATTCTAGGTTTAATCAAAATTTCGCTCTCAAATCAATAAAACCCAACAATTTCTTCTTGATCAACTGATTGAATTTACTTATCTTCAACATTCTTGCTATGGATCTGTTTTGGGGAAAAAAACTATTCTTAACCTCTACGTATAATGCCGATGTGAACAATCTGGATGAATAAATTTCTAAAAGGGAAAATTTTAATTGTTACTTATTTTATTACAACCAATTTAAATAGAATCTGAACTCAAGTGCTTTTCATGGATTTTATGTTTGATTTCTAGCACTTGGATATCTTGATGGAGAAACTAACAACTTATGTATTCAGTTCATTATCATCCTTTTGATGGAGTTGATCATTTTTTATTAACATCCCTTTTGTTAACAATAATTTTCATCTAAAAACAAATCCAATTTCATGTATTCGATCTATGATACTTTGTTAATTCTAGGTTTCCACCATTGAAATGGATGATTTATGATTAGGAAAAGACAGATCTTCTTTAGATCGATTAATAATTGAAATCTTCCGTTCTAAAAATTTATGGAGAACATAGTTTACGAAGTTTCTGAATTTGAAACTAATGTTCAACAATTACAAAATTCGTTGGGACTATTTTCATTATGGTTTGTGGAATTAAAAAATAAACACCAACTGTAGTTCTGTGAAATTTGTCACGACTATGTTTTATTTAAGCACATACATACACTAAAATGGATTACTGTACGAAGAAGAGAAGGCAGATATAACAGAGAAGAAGATAGCGGAATAGAGAGAGGTTTTATTCAAGCACATACATACACTAAAATGGATTATTGTACGAAGAGAAGGCAGATATAACAGAGAAGAAGAGAACGGGATAGAGAGAGGAGATAGTAGGAGAGGTTGATTTAAGAGATAGACGGTTAACAACCAGGTGGGTTCAAGTCTACCCGGTTAGAGATTCATATTTGCGATAACTCTTAACTTTCTTAAGAATGCCCGATCGAATAATTTAATTTCCAACACTTATCCTCAGTCTGCATACGGACGGACCGTACCTGAGCCCCTCTGTATACATATATATATTGTCAGAGGGGCTCTCTTACGGGTCCGTCCGTATACGGACTTGACCAAATCACGTGATTCCTTTTCCCAAACGTAAATATGGTTTCTCCACTGGGTCTTCTTTGACCCAGTTTGAACCTATTTTTGTTAATTTTCAAAAAAAAAATAAAAAAAAACACCTTTCCTTCACCGGTTAACGAAACCTCTCTTACGTCTTTTTTTTTTCTTATTCTTATTGTTGTTGTTGGTCTGATTTTGTTTATATCTTCGGATCTTTCTTTTTTCTTCGTCTCTCTCTTTTTCTCTATACCAAACTCTATCCTAAGGATAAAAGAATAGTTATTTGGCATCTGAGTTATAGCCGATCCAATTTGTGTTGCTGTAATTCTTCTTGTTTCGATAATATTTGTTCAACAAACTGTAGATACATGGTGGTGATTCTGATTTTATTAGCTTGATCTTTTTCAAGCATAAATTTTAGGGTTTCTTTGGGTTAATTTTAAAGTAGAAATTTTCTCTTCTTTGTGCAAATTGGGTGTTGTTTTGTCAAGTTCTCTTAATTCAAGTAGTCGGGTTGGTTTTGGGGAGTGATTGAATTCTTGAACCGTGTTTGCTCACCTCTATCATAGCCTATCTTCGCTTGCGGCGTCTAGGTTGATGCACAATTGAAGCTTAACTAGGAGGTGGAACTTCTCTATTTTCATTAGTTCTTTGGTAAATTTTCTCATTTCTGCCATTTTCTTTCTTAATTTGGAAGTCTTCTTCATTAAAATTTTCTGTCTATCAACTATTTTTTTTTGTGGTTTTTGTCGCAGTTATAGATATGTGTTTTTTCTTTGTCTCAAGTATCATTATTTCATTAAGGTTTCTAAAACTTCCAGAGCCTGATTGATGTTTGGTTTAGCTAAGTCAAATTAGCAATGTTGTTTATTAACTGGATTATGATTTTACTTTTAAGGCTCAAATTCTTACTATTGTTGTAACCTTCCCATCATCCAGGGACCCTAATCTAGTGAAAAGAATTGGCGCTGCAATTACTCTTGAAGTTAGAGCGACGGACTTCCATATGCTTTTGCTGTAATTACTGAGTTATGATGCTTTTGCATGTATATAGGTCTGCATAGATCTGCGATGGGGTTGGTGTTATGAGAGCTACAACGAAGATCACAAATTATTTAAATTGCACAGATTCTGCGATGGAGTTTAGAACTTTAGTATATCTTGAACGGATTCCGTCGTTTTGAAGACATTTTTTCTCTTGAGTAATTTTGTTTAATTATCAGAAGGAATTGAAACCAGTTTGATTGAATGGAAAAAAATTTCTCAGGTTGCTGCAAATTTGTCACAAGTGTTTCCGAAGGACACTGAAGCACCACCAGGGCACCAGGAGGCGTGGACGACATGACAATGCTTTTTTTGTTTGCATGAACCTGGAATTCTGCAAAATTTGGCCATAAGATATGAGCTCAATGAAATTTATGTGAGCCATTTTTTCATTCAATTTCATTGACCTATTTTTGTGATAAATAGGAAATATACTTGGAGACTCGGCTAATCACATGATACTAATTTTTTTTTCTTATTGATATCCTGATTACAGTAAATCCATTTCAAAATTGCAGATGCTAAATACAGGTTAGTTCTGGTCATTTCACTAGTAGCCTCTAATCTAATCGTGCATGTAGTAATGTTTTCCTAAACTCTTTGCTATAAAAATAGGAAATGATTAACAAGGGGAAAAACAATTTTATTCTGGTTAGTGGAGAAAGTGCTGCTGGTAAATCAGAAACGAAAAAGATGGTGATGAGAAATACCTTGCATACTTGGGAGAGATATCTGGTATTCAGGGAATGCCACTTTCAACAGCAAGTTCTAGAGGTGAGATGAAGTTGTCTGGTTTTGTCCCAGGTTTCACATTTTAGATAATGGAAGTTGATGCTTTCTTTCCTTCTCTCTGTGTTTATAACACAACTGGGCACAAAAATCTTGAAAACATATATAATTATATCCCAATATGTTTGATTTGTTCATTCTCTAGTTCATTTTTTTTTTCATGCCGATTTGTGTTTACAACAATACAAATTTTCTCTCTATGGATCATTAGCTCAAATGGTAGAGCACTAGAGAATAGTTACGCACTACTACATCTTAAGAGATGGTGGTTCAAGTCCATCATGATCCTCATCTGTTTTGTATTATTATTTCTAGACATTTTAAACATGATACCAATGAGGTCACTGGATCCAAAAACAATGATTAATTAAGGAACATAAAGTTCCTGAAAACCGACGACAGATCAATCATTCCAAAAGTATTTACAGGGATTCACTTCTGTAAAAGCACACGACATTTAAGAACAGGTTAGTAACGCTCATTGTTTTCTCCCATTAATGTGAGACTTTTACTAAGCATTCCAAACAGCTTGTGATCTTCCACTTCTCTTGTTGGTGTAACAGACATGTTGATTAATGAAGGAACACACATTAACTAATATTTCACTTTCGAAATCTTCACAATGCATGCTAACTCTTAACAACACTGTATAACACAACATTCGCCACCTATGCATCAATACAATCTGATAGGTCAATACAAGTACATGTTACTAAAATGAAAGAAATACCTGAAAAGCTCAATAACAATACTCGTAATTAGACACCTACCTGCCATAAGTGCATTTTTTCTCCTGGGAACCATATATGGATAGTGACGTGTGAGCTTTGTAACCAATGTTCACTAGAAATTTTTTGAGCAATTAAATCATAAATGCATTCTTAAAAGCAACCAATACTGGTCATTTATTAACTGAAATAAACTAAAACAATATTGGACAACGACACAACCTTCTTAAAGTCTTTGACATAGAAGAAAAAAAACAAAAAAAGAATTCTCGAACTCAATACAACAAATGTCTACAAAAAAAAAAATGCACTTATGGCGTGTAAGTTTAATACGGAGCATGCCTGTTGAGCTTTCTAGTGATTTCTTTCATTTCTGGTAACAAATTAAATGTCTATTTAAGCTCTATAAAAGAATCCTACAATGATATGTCTATAATTAATTACTGGTAATAAATCAGGATCTTGGTGGATTTGAACCATCATCCCTTGAGATATATTAGCTAGGCGTTGCTCATACTCCCAAGTGCTCTACCATTTGAGCTAAAGATCCACTTAAATCACATACATAAACCCAACATACAATTACAATGTTTCCTGAATATTCCTCCATGTTTGATAACACCAGTCAAAGAAGTTCAAAGAAAATTTGAATCATATTCAATAATGCCTGACTTAGAAAATTTTTATTTGACGTTAAAATTTCACAAAACAGTTCTAAAAGGATTGCAAGGAAATTAAAATACCATGAAGCTGAAAGTAGCCAACTTCTTCAAAATAATGCTTCCTTTTTCCACTCTATCAAAGAAGTTATCTGGTGTAATAGCAGTTGCACAGGCAGAAACATCTTTGTTGAAACTCTATTTTGGGATCATGTTGTGCTTCTTCAGATGAAACTTCAACTAATAGCTAATTAAATTAGTTTGCAACTATAACTAACATGAATTAAGAAACCAACAATTGTATTAAAGAATGAACACAAGTATACTCTACATCTTTTCTAGAAGGCAATTGCTCGGTTGAGTACCATTACGTAGATTGAGTAGAAAGACATCACATTGAACACCAGGCCATCAGTTTTGAATAAGAACTCACCGCAATACATTTTCTCTAAGTGAATGGCTTTTTTATTCACAAAGTATACAAAAGAATTAGTGATCAAATAAGAAACTTTCATTAACGAATCTGATATCATCTCAACCTCTTCATCATAGATTCCACCTCTCAACATTCCAAACAAGTTGATTAACCAAATCTAAACTAAATTCCAATCTCTACAATCAATCATCAATTCATCATTCATCATCGAAACTCGCGAATTCATAAACAAAAAATCAAACTAAATTAAATAACTGATTATCAATCAATCAATTAAAAACAAAATCAACTAAAATATCAAATTTCAATTTACTTACCTGTAGAGAACATAGCAACGAATTGAAGAAAAAATTTCGTCGTCTTCTTAATTTGATGCCAAATCCAGAAAACGATTACAAAATTCTAGTTTGTAAATTGTGTTTGTAAATTTGTTTAATTCTTGTCTTTAAGACATAGTTAGAGAGAGGAGAGAGAGCAATAGAGAAAAAGAGAGACGAAGGAGAAAGAAAAGGCAACACAGATTTTTTTTTTATTTTGATATTGGGTTATCAAACTGGGTCAAAGAAGACCCAGTGGAGAAACCATATTTACGTTAGGGAAAATGAATCAATCGAAAATGCACGTGATTTGGTCAAGTCCGTATACGGACGGACCGTATGAGAGCCCCTCTGTATATATTGTACATAAACAAATAGGATAACAAACTATTCTATTAAAAAAACTTCGCATTTTTAGCGTTGTGAAAAAACAACAAGTAGTAAATCTAGTCATAACTAATAAATATAAATGAGACATAGCTGTTTAACAAAGATAATACAAAATAACAACTTACTAGTGAAAGTGAACTCGGCGAGGCACAACTTCAAACTCTTTTATAACTTCATCTAAATTCAGTTCTTTAGCATATTCTCTTTCAATGTGGAGAACCATCAAATCTGCAAGAAACTCATCATCCACTTTGTTTCGAAGTACTGTCTTGATAAGTTTCATAGCTGAAAATGCTCGTTTAGTATATGATGTAGAAACAGGTAGTGTCAGAAGAAGACGAATCAGTTTATCAACCAAACTATAGATCTTCGATTTTCGTGTTTCTGCTAGCCTTTGACATAAATCAGATATAGAAGACAAGTTTTGGAAATGTTGATCACTAGTGACATCGAGCTGATAATGTTGCAACTGACTTCTCAAAATATTAATCTCCTGCTTCGTGAAATCTTGGGAATAATATTTCTCAGCAAGTGTGCATATGTTATTGATGTCGAATGACTTATAAGCATCTCTAGGATCCAAAGATGAACTAAGCTTAAGAAGCTCCATCGCATCATCAGTGAATCTATGGTTTAACTCCATCAACTGGTGATCAATGACAGCAATAAATAAATCAAAATGGTAATGATGTCGAATATTGATGTCATCCTTTTGATGGCAAGAGCGTCCTGTCCCACTTCTATACAACCATCCACATCAGGTATGTCAATGTCATGTTTTGTGCAGAACGAAACCACACTTTCAAGAAAAATATCCCGATTCTCATTTTTCAATTCTTAGAGAAGTGTCTTTGTGGTAGAGACTATACTCACAGCATTTAAGATGTCTTGAGTTTTTTCCTGTAAGGCCCGACATAACACATTTGTTATTCCCATAGTCTTGTGCATCAAATGTAAGATGAAAACAAACTCAAATGATCCCATTTGAATATTAGCACCCTTAGCTTCACCTCGCATAGAGTTTGTTGATCTGGTCCTTGTGATGCTTTCAAGAACAGTACAAGTTGCATTGTACATTTCAATCAATCTACAAACAGAAGCAAAATGAGAACTCCAACGAGTAGCTCCAGCTCGTTGCAAGTTGCCAATTTGGTTTGCCCCTTTGCCAGTTTGAATATCACCAATAGCTAATAATTTTGCAACTTTATATTCTTGAGCAGATTGTAGCTCACCTTTGCACTTGGGAGAAGCACCAACAAGATTGACAATAGAAGCCAACTTCGAAAAAAACAACCAAACATCTTGTATATCTTTGGATGCTGCAATCAAAGCAAGTTGTAGCCGATGAGCAAAACAATGTATATAATAAGCACAAGGGGACTCTTTCAGAAATAATGCTTGCAATCCATTCCATGCACCACACATATTACTAGCACCATCGTAACCTTGACCTATCATATTGCAAACATGGAAATCTGAACAAGCAAGAATATTAGAAATTTTTTTCTTCAGAGTTATTGCTTTGGTATCAACAATACCCACAATTGCGAAAAATGGCTCTCGTACTAAACCACCAGCATCAACAAACCTCAAGACAATAGCCATTTATTCCTTAGTAGAATTGTCTTGTGCTTCATCAACAAGAATACAAAACTTTTCATTCCCGACTTCCTCACGAATTTTCTTTCTCACCATTTCAGCCATAATATGCAAAACCTCTTTTTGAATGCTATGTGAGATGTACATTGCATTCTTTGGAGCTTTTTCCAAAACAACATTAGCAACTTCAGTATTACATCTTGCTAAAAACTTTACAAGCTCAATAAAATTACCTCGATTTTCTGAAGTAACGGTTTCATCACAATCTTTAAAAGCACATCCATGTAGTGCAAGCCATTGTACAGTTTCTATTGTAGTCTTGAGCCGCAATCGATTCTTCATAACATCCTGTTTAGATTGTTGAATCATTAAACTGTTTACATGTTGAGACGCTCTCATCAAATCTTCACATGATCTCACTGCCGACATGTGTGGTAAACATGGACCTGATCCAACATGTGTTAAAAATGAACACCTAGCACCATTGTTAGCTCCCTTCCAACAATTAAACCCATCACTAGTGTAAGGCTGACGCTTTGGAGGATTTGTTTCAAATAAGAAACATGGAAAACAATAGGCCCTGTCAGTTGCAGGTGAGTACTCTAGCCAAGAATGTTTTTCATACCAAGTGTAGCAAAACCCATGATTTTGACTTATGTACCAAGTGAGAGGAAACTTATGTGTGCTTGGTAGTCTGTACGGCCCCATTTTGAGATAAGCTAGTTGAACCTAATCACGTTTATTAACAGGATATTTCCATATCGCAGTATGTAATCCTGGATCACGTTCAAAAGAAGTTGTGAGGTCAACTTCTTCAATTATAATACTTGGAGCATTAGGTGTAAGCTTTGGAACTTCCAGTACAAATCTAGGAGCTTTGGATGGACAATCCTCATTCTTGTCACATGTAGTCTCAACTTCAGAAGTGGAAGCTATATCACGTTTAGAACCATCTTTTAGTTTAAAGAATGAATCGATAGTCTTTTTTGGCTTGGTTGCTTGACGAGGGTTTGACATTGGCCACTACAAGAAAAAAATGTTATGAGTCGTGACATAAATTAGATTAGATTGCATCATGCCATTATAACAATACTAGTAATAATCCAACAGCTTAGAACCAAATTCAATACTAATGCTAAAGGATAATTAATAATAGCATT